TATATTTTTTTATTATATTTTAACCCAAATATTTTTAATAAAAAAAATAAAAAAAATTAAATTTATGATCCGTCCAAAAACATGTTTGTTTGTCAATAAATTTTGTTTACAAAACAATTTTTGGTCATGCTGATTTTTAATATATTTTGTTTATATTTTTATTGACGCGTAGATTTTTGAGATCACTAAAAATGTAAACAATTTTAATATAAACAAATTTCTGCTTATATAATTTGCTTGAAGTAAATTAATTGAAAAACTGTATAAAAAAGATCAAAATTATAAATGAACTATTAAATTAACAATAAAAAATTTTAATTGAAATTATTCAATTAACAAATGCAAGCTGACCTCGTTATAATTCAGTTCACATATTTTCAATACAACAAACTTAATTTATCATTAATCATTATTCATTTGCTTATATACATGTATGGTAAGTTATGACAAATAAAAATTATAATAGATCAAAAAAAAAAAAAATTTATACAAGAAGAGATTTATATAAATTGCAAAATCTATACTTTTGATTTTATACTTTTGATATTATCTATTATAATATAGATATATGTAGACATAGTAGATATAGTTTTAGTAATATTAATTTATGTTAGATCGTGACCCTATTGACGACTCTCAAGGAGAGTTGAAATATAGAATATATTAAAGAATATTATACAAACGTTAAATTATTTAACAAAAAGTGACCTATAGCCGGATAAAAAAATATGTGAAAACCATTATAAAAAAACAGGTCGATAATTAAATTCTAAATTTTGTATTATAATTTTCGTTATGAACTTTGTTGGCTCTATTTTCTTCTGTTTAAATAACTTTGAGATCAAAACTGTGAAACAAATATATGAATTAAATCAAAGTTTTGATATATATTTTAATATATATATTTATATTTATTATTTTGATGTATATTTATTTATATTTATTAAAAAAATGTCTTAATCTTGTTCATTAGATATTATAATGTACTTAAGATTTTTAATTATTACCATAATATGATACCATAAGTATACACAGATGGGTTGGCAACACTTTTTATTTGCATTTTTTTAAATTATAATTTAAATCATAAATTAATAGTAGATTAAAATTATAAATTTTAAAATCAAAAATCATAAATTTAAAAAATAAATTTTAAATTCAAAATTTAAAATAAAATCATAAATTTTTTATCTACAGTACGAAACGCTACAAAATAACTGCGAATACTTTTTTTTTTTGAATTGCAATCATTGGATTGAAATAAGTTTAAGTTACATTACATTTGTTAAATTTAATTACTGAAATAATTAATTTTTATTACATGCAATAAAAAAATTAAAGTAATATTTCGAAAGGCAATACATATAGTATTTATGCGAAAACCACACACTTTCTTTGTTTCAATAACATTTTTATAAATAAATTATGCATATTTGTGTCTTATAAATATAAATTCATAATTATTTTTTTATATTTAATTTTTATAAATTTATGCAGTCGAAAAACGCACTTGTGGATTTTCACCTTCATTTTTAATAAAATTTTATTTCAGCGAAATGCTTTAGTATTAGTCGGAAAAGTGCAATGAGTCACGTAAACAACTGAGGAAAATTATTTTTAGTCGAATTATTGTCACGCAAAGTCACACGAACTTATTTTCAACTGAAATTGTTTTGTTTTTCTGTGCATTGCTTTTTTTTTATTGTAAAAGGAAAAACGAATTTATGTTGAAAAAATTAAAGACAAAGAAAAATTTCTAGTGAAAAACGTTAACACGGAAAATGTTTGCATGAAATTGGCGCAATTTAGTTTTTCACAGTAAAAGTAGAAAATTATTCTTAGTAGAAGTGGAAACAATTACACACATATACACACACACAGATACAATAACTGCATATACTATACTAATTACATTACTCAACACACTCTAGTATCATAGCCCAGCACTCTTGCCTTCATTAGGTAAGTAGAGTATCTTTTATTAGATTAGGGATTGGTTTTCGTAATAAAATGTCTCATAAGGTTAATGTATTCTATTCCAACGGGAGCCAATTCTACTATTTTATTATAACAATATTATGAACTATTTCAACAATATCACAAATTTATGATTTAATTTTAAGTCATATAGAGACTATGTTATAAATATTTGAAGTGATGTACAAGAAAATATTTTCAAATGAATCTATTTTAATAGATTACAAGTAATCAAAAATAAATGCATGAACAACAAAAGTTTTGGCTATTATTAATTTTCTGATATTACAATTTCCTATTTCTTCTAATCTTACGTCTGATCTGTTCTCATCCTTCCAACAAAGATATGAACTTTAATCTTACTTCTGATCTGATCTCATTATTTCTTCAGAGGTATGAACGTCCCCTACTGTCTACCGGCAACGTTACAATATAGTTCTTTCAGCTTATCGTTCCATCTAATTCAATACTTTTTACAGGTGCGTAAGGAACTATGGATATCAAAAAGTGTTTTTATCGAATGCACTGTTGGTTATTGTACAAATTTCCGCACCGCGCAGCAGGAACCTGATTTTTATTTGTCGAGATAGGGCTGCATTTCAAATAGCAAAAAGTAGTAACTATTGGCAAGAGTGATTCTTCTTTAATAATAGACATGGTATCATTACTGTTTATTATAACATTCCCTCGGGAAAAGGGTTAGAATATTTACGAAACATGGGGATGGGGGTATTATTATTGATGCTAATTTGCTTTCTTAAACTGGACGTGCGTTTGCTAATTTAATGAAAAAATAAAATATAATCAATCTTAAAACGAAAATGTGCAAATCACGTGTTGTATTGTTCAGAAACGTGGTGCGTGCTATTAATTTAAGCTTAAACTGGTATGTTAAGCAAGGTACAACTAAGGTAGTGTAATTTATAATTAAAAGTATACAAAATTTTAACCTGTATTCTAGATAAAAGTTACAGCATTGGCATATTATTTATCTTTTAACGTGCCGTTGACAAAAACATAAACGATATGAGAGCTTATTGTAAATTTACTATGTTGTGTAAGTTAGTATTATATTGGTATATTGCAATTGTTAGATATTAGTGCATCGTTACGGTTGACAAATTTCAGTAGAAATATCATGAGAATCAATTATAAATTCATTGAAATATTATTTTTTGTAATGCGATAAGCAATATTAAATAGTAATTAACGTAATAATAATAGTACTATTATCATATTAAAATTTTTTAATATACTAAAAAATGCAGTTTTCGTTTTAAATTTATTAGCTGTTTCCTCTTTAGAACGTTATAATTTCTTTTTTTATTTCTATATTATTATTTCCTAACGTGTAACGTATCAATAAAGCTTATATTAATGTGACGAAGCACAATAGCTGTGCTACCATATACAAAAACTTGTACTAATTGTTGTAAGTTTTTACTTTTATTGCTAGTTTTGCGTTTCCGTACACTAAAAACTAGTAAATATAGATAACAAAGGGAAATATGTTTTAGTATATTGCTCTCTTTTATTAGTTTTGACTACAAAAGATATGGGAACAAAACTTATGTAAACGTTAGCTATAAGTCAGAAAGCCTATATAGAGATCAAGTAGAAATTAATATTAAATTCAATTCAAGCTATTATTTGCTGAAAAATTTAATAAATTTTAATAATATTTTATTAAGTATGTTATCATATGTCTATTTGAATTATTACAATAAATGAAAGTATTTTTATTGAGTTAATTTTAACTATAACAAATCAATGTTCTGATATAAATCAATTAAATTTAATACAAACCAATTAGGTCTGTTTAATGAAAA